CACTGCGCTTGGTGAACCCCTCGCAGCTCAACGGTAGAGCGTTGGCTAAGCAAAAGCCGCCCCTGTTGTGTGTGTGGGTTCGACTCCCATCGAAGCCGAGCATTTTTCACATTTGGGTCAACTGAATTAAGCACATCTGCCAAACCCCCCTTACAATAAGCATTTTCGTCATCTATTCAAATGTAGTCATTTAAGCTGTCCACTGCCCTGCATACCATCCAAGAAAAGGTTTGGGGTACTAAAAATAACATTATCATGTGGATTGCTTACGTACTTTTTAGTGATTGATTTGAGTGGAGGAAGTGCATTGTTTGGACTTCCTGCCGCCCCCGCCTAATAAATAAAGCGAAGGAGCCTTTTCCATAAAAAGGAGGTCCAGAATGGTAATAATTCCGGGAGGTACCACACCTTCACTCGGGTAATGGGGGAATGTTTTGATGACCCGAAGGACTTCATACCAGGGTGCATTAATGCTTAGAAAAGCCACGGATTTACTGTATGGGACTGCGGTTTATCCAAAGCCTGCAGTTTCATCGGGGACTTTTTGGATTGGTGAAGCTCGGGCTGGGTATATCTAAGACGAACATTTAAAAAAAATCATTTTAGACCACCTGGTTCTCTCCGGACTATTGAAACTGGTACACTTTAGCCCTGGCTTTGAGTACACACATTACAATTTCAAGTTGGTGTGCATTGTTCTACAGCCGAAAGACGAAGCCTATGACTTCATTGATGGTTAAAATTTTATGGTTGAAATAATACATTTTTTATTTATACTAAGTGGATTCTGTTTACGGTAATGCGATAAAATCTGTGGTTATCCCGTCCACTCCAATTTTGACTATCTGTGGTTTGTGACCTTCGGTTCTGTACGAAAATGAGCTATCGTTTGAACTATTACTCGAAAACCTCCCCGCTTTTCGTCATACTTTAAACACTAGGCATTTAACCGCAGAAACTCTTTTACTTCACGAATGTTTTACTTCATTTTAAGCGAAATAATTTTTCTTCTAATTTAAATAATCAGTAAAATTTATTAAATTTCTCTAAACGGTGCGCATTTCGTCAGCTGCTTCTAATTTCGTAATATTCTCTCGGTGGTGAGAGAATTTCGCATGTATCCGTCTCATTTAAGGCGGTCTTATCCACCCAATAGTAAATTTTCTCCCTTTTACAATCTAACTTCTTTTTTAAATGTACGAAGCAGCATCACTATTCGAGAAATGTTGCCCCGTTTACTCAAATTGTTTTAATAATTTCATTTATACTATTGGTACTATCTGTTATATTTTAATGAAGAAAATATAGAGAAGAAGACGACTCGATCGCGGGGACAATACTTTTATTCGCCTGACGTTTCAAGATCCGTCGCGGATTCGTCATCAGAGACATAGTCAGATGGCAGTAGCAGTACCCATACAAAAACATATTATGCTATAGGCAGGAGAGTTATTGTATTCTTATGGATGCGCAATTGGTCCCCCAATCAACACAATCTTTTACATATGACTGAAAGCCTTTAGCCAGTGGTGAGGTTTAGAACTTTTGCCTATCACTTCCGTCCGACCACAATGTAAACAATTTAGCAAAAAAATCATTCTTCCAGGGCTGACTACAGAGCTACGGCCTCACTTACAGGATTACTTCTCCGGTTGAACTTCTTAACGTGTGCTTCTAGCTGTTGTGAAAGAACTAAGGTGTTTTATGTTAATCAGTGTGGCAGTTCCAGAATAGTGCATTTTTCCTCTTGGAGGAATATTCACGGATTTGTAAACTGTATTTCGGCGCCCTCTGAAACCTTCCCGTCAACACAAGGGCAGACATTCGGCGCAAGGGGTGTATGCGTATTCTTCAGAAATTGCTGAGTCCTGTTTTGAACTACCTGCCGCATGGGTGGCATTCTCGTTTTGGCTGACGTATGAATCTCCACTGCCCACTTTGGTCGCGACGAGGAAATTCCCTGTTACTCTCTTGCCCTTGCTGGCTTGATGGCCCTGACCGTTCCCGCTTGTCAAGTAGGTTTACAAGGCCAAGTAGAACGCAGGCAGGCCTACGCGGCGGTTCACCGACATATCGGTCGACTTATATCAGTCTTGACGTGCGACCGCTCAAT